CTTTATGACTTCTCTCCTGATTCATTCCCCACCCCACCCCCAACAGCTTGGCTTTGCCACTTTTTAAACTTTTCCTGAGTTCTGAACGAGCTAATACCTAGGAATGACACCCACTCGACATACCCACAGCCCTGCTCTTAAGCGTCCACTTCCACAGTGACTGCTCACTGCACGCTGTGCCGCACCGGGGGCAGGTATCTGGTGCAGCAGTTCACCTGCCATTGAGATGCTCCCATGCCCTATCAGGAGTGCCCGGTTAGAGTCCTAGCTAGAGTCCTAGCTAGAGTTAGGTTAGAGTCCTAGCTAGAGTCCTAGCTAGAGTTAGGTTAGAGTCCTAGCTAGAGTTAGGTTAGAGTCCTAGCTAGAGTCCTAGCTAGAGTTAGGTTAGAGTCCTAGCTAGAGTTAGGTTAGAGTCCTAGCTAGAGTTAGGTTAGAGTCCTAGTTAGAGTCCTAGCTAGAGTTAGGTTAGAGTCCTAGCTAGAGTTAGGTTAGAGTCCTAGCTAGAGTTAGGTTAGAGTCCTAGCTAGAGTTAGGTTAGAGTCCTAGCTAGAGTCCTAGCTAGAGTTAGGTTAGAGTCCTAGCTAGAGTTAGGTTAGAGTCCTAGCTAGAGTCCTAGCTAGAGTTAGGTTAGAGTCCTAGCTAGAGTTAGGTTAGAGTCCTAGCTAGAGTTAGGTTAGAGTCCTAGCTAGCGTTAGGTTAGAGTCCTAGCTAGAGTTAAGTTAGAGTCCTAGCTCTGATCGCTGCACCCACTTCTGATCCAGCTTCCTGCTCACGGGCACCATGGGAGGCAGCAGGTGCTGGCTGAAGCACCTGGCGCCCTGCCACCCACGCGGGAGACCCAGATACAAGTTCCAGGCTTCTGGCTTTGCCTGGCTCAGCCCTGACTGTTTGGGCTTTTGGGGAGTGAACAATCAGATGACAGTATTTGTAAAATGCACATAATTTCCTATTTTGAAACTTGTGAGAGATCTTTTGGTAACCATCCTCTTCTCATTTCTACAGAGAAGCCTAACTCAAGACTTGAGGCTCGACTCGGGGAACTCAGGTTTAAACTCAGGTTTTCCCATTTTAATTAGGGCCTCGGTCTTGGGGGACCTACCCAGGGGTTCTGACCTGGAGGAAGTAGGTGGGGGCGGTGAGCTAAACCAGCTCCCTGGCTTAGGTGGAAGGCTGGCATCCCTACCTTGTCACGCACACTGGTCCTTCTTATCTGGCGTGGAGTCAGTGTTGACCAGCTGAGGAGTGGGCGTGGAAGTGGTGGCAGCACAGTGCAGGGCTGCTCTCACCCGTGTTCCCATTCAGTAGCCTTTTAATGAACTCAGTGACTCAGCACCGGCCCCTCCCCCACTGGCCTCTCCATCACACTGATGCCCACGTGACAGCACTGCATCCCCACCGAGACTAATCCCATGTCAATAAGAGCTTTCAGCACTACCCCACCAGACTGCTCTGTCTCACCACCGCTTTGCTGACGTGCCTGGGGCGCCACAGATACTCCCCAAGTGCATACTAGTTATAGAGGAGACGACAGACGCCTGACCACTTGGTGTGAGGATTTTGCTTCCAAAGCCTGTGGTTTTTTAACAAAGCAACTTGGCCAACTGACACTCAATCACTCAACCAGGCGTTGCACAAGCTACAGGAATTAGAAAACAAAGCTGGAGTTTACCGAGCCGTGGTGATCAATAAAGTCACCAGGACAGTGATTACGGTACCATCACCCCACTGTCCAAAGATCACACATAGAGCTGTGTGTTAAAGGACAGCTTAAGATGAGCTCTTGAACACACATGTGTGGGTACTGTATCCGATTTCTCTGCTATAGACCCAGGGCAAAGCAAAGCATGCTGGTCTCAGCTTAAGATGCAACGAACACCATCTATTTCATAAGGGTAAAAAATTACTAAGACTGGTTAACTTTGTTCATCCAGTGTTTCTTTTATTACTAAAAATTTATTTTCATTTACTTGAAAGGCAGAGACAGAGAGAGAGAGAGCAAGAGACCTTCCAACTGCTACTTTACTCCCCAAATGCCCACGATGCCAGAGCTGGTCCAGGCTTTAGATAGAAAGAAAGAAGCCTGAAACTCAGTATCAACCTGGGCCTCCCAGGTGGGTGGCAGGGACCCAAGTACTTGAACCATTACCTGCTGCCTCCCAGGGTCTGAGTTAGCAGAAAGCAGTATCAGAAGCAAAGCAGGGACTCAAATCCAGGCATTCTAACATGGGAGAAAGGCATCCCAAATGCTGTCTTAACCACTGTGCCAAATGCTTACTCCTATTTTTTTTTAATTTGTTTATTTATTTGAAAGGCAGAGTTACACAGAGGCTGAGAGGCAGAGAGACAGAAGAGAGGTCTTCCATCTGATAGTTCACTCCCCAGTTGGCCGCAATGGCCGGAGCTGCGCCAATCCGAAGCCAGGAGCCAGGAGCTTCTTCCGGGTCTCCCTTGCAGGTGCAGGGGCCCAAGGACTTGGGCCATTTCTACTGCTTTCCCAGGCCACAGCAGAGAGCTGGATTGGAAGAGGAGCAGCCGGGACTAGAACCGGCGCCCATATGGGATGCCAGCACTTCAGGCCAGGGCGTTAACCCACTGCACCACAACACGGGCCCTGGGCCATCTTCTACTGCTTTCCCAGGCCATAGCAGAGAGCTGGATCGGATGTGGAGCAGCCGGGACTCGAACCAGCACCCATATGAGATGCTGGCACTGAAGGCAGCGGCTTTACCCACTACGCCACAGTGCCGACCCCTCTTATCCTGTAAACAAGACTTCTTTTACACGCAGCCCCCTTTATCTTGTCTTTTGCCATAATTTCACCCAGTTCCTAAAGTGCAACTGTTGCTGTAAATGCTAGGAGCAAGCAGAAAGCCTCTGTACACTGCCAGGCAGACGACTGGCTGCATATGTGCCTGGGGAGAGTCTTCCAAGGTTCTGTGAGAAAAATTCCATCAGGGTTATGGGTAAGAACAACAAGCCTAGGCCATATGTAAAATCTTCACCAAGGATTTCTCCAGGGCTAAATGTGAAGTTATGAAGCCCTCTGCACACAAAGTTCTCTCCCTCCAGAAAGCTGTATCTATCAATTGTGAAAATAAAGGTTTTCGGTTCTAACACTGTGACTAAAGCTATTCGAACCTCATCCTCTTTTCTTGGAAACATGTTAATTTGGGGGCTGGTGTGTGGCACTGCGGGGAAAGCTGCTGACTGTGATTCTGGCATCCCATATGGGCGCTGGTTTGAGTCCTGGCTGTGCCACTTCTGATCCAGTTCTCTGCTTACAGCCTGGAAAAAGCAGTGAAAGATGGCTCAGTGCTTGGGCCTCTGCCACCCACGTGAGAGACCCGGCAGAAGCTCTGGGTCCTAGGCACTGGCCTGGCCCAACCCCAGCCACTGTGGCCATGTAAGGGGTGAACCAATGGATGGATGATCTGTCTCTCTATCTCTCCCTCTCTGAAACTTTTTTTTTTTTTTTTTTTACAGGCAGAGTAGACAGTGAGAGAGAGAGACAGAGAGAAAGGTCTTCCTTTGCTGTTGGTTCACCCTCCAATGGCCGCCACGGCCGGCGCACCGCGCTGATCCGATGGCAGGAGCCAGGAGCCAGGTGCTTTTCCTGGTCTCCCATGGGGTGCAGGGCCCAAGCACTTGGGCCATCCTCCACTGCACTCCCTGGCCACAGCAGAGAGCTGGCCTGGAAGAGGGGCAACCAGGACAGAATCTGGCGCCCCGACCGGGACTAGAACCTGGTGTGCCAGCGCTGCAAGGCAGAGGATTAGCCTAGTGGGCCGCAGCGCCGGCCTGAAACTTTTTCAAATAAATAAATCTTTAGAAAAAGTTAATTTAAAAAAATATGCACTCAATAAAAATGTATTAAAATAGGAGATGCTCATTCTACGTCTGCTCCCATCCACTGGGCACTGCAGAGACTATCACAGAGGAGAAATGCAAATCCCTTGTTTTACAGATAGGGAAACTGAGGCCTGACAGTAAGGTAAAGGCATTTCCCCAACAACAGCAACCTCCAAGCTCGGCTGAGCGTCCTGGTCCTCTACTTCCCCAACTCACACACACTGTACTGGTCAGGGTATGCTTTCTCCCCAGCGAGAATCCCACCACCCACCCACTTGCAAGTATGTGTGTATGTAAGACCTGAAAATCCTCCTCAAGCAGTTTCTCCTGCTGGCTTCACGAAATTCTATCCTTAGCAAATTATTTTCCAAATACTTAATATTTCACATGCTTTGAGGAACCCAGTCTTGAACATTTTTAATTTACAAATTAGGTAATTTGCTATGCAGAGTTCCTAGCTCTCTATGGTTTTCATAAGTTGTCACCCACTTGATCTGCAAAATAGCTTGTGATGTGAGCGAGGCAGGGATTATCCCTGAAGTCTGTGGTGCTCCAGCGAAGATAAATGATTTAGAGCAGAACACAGGTCTTCTAACCACAACTGCCACCCCTCCCTCTTCCTCCCTTCATCCCAGTTAGGAGCCTACTGTGTGGCCGGCGCCGTGGCTCAACAGGCTAATCCTCCGCCTGCGGCACCGGCACACCGGGTTCTAATCCCGGTCAGGGCGCCGGATTCTGTCCCGGTTGCCCCTCTTCCAGGCCAGCTCTCTGCTGTGGCCCGGGAGTGCCGTGGAGGATGGCCCAAGTGCTTGGGCCCTGCACCCCATGGGAGACCAGGAAAAGTACCTGGCTCCTGGCTTCAAATCAGCACAGTGCGCCGGCTGCGGCGGCCATTGCAGGGTGAACCAACGGCAAAAAGGAAGACCTTTCTCTCTGTCTCTCTCTCTCACTGTCCACTCTGCCTGTCAATGAAAAAAAAAAAAAAGGAGCCTACTGTGCTCATTTATCCTACTGTGCATCAACTGCTCCTCTGGCAAAGACTTAGAACACAGAGGCCAGGTCTCCAGGGAGCCAGCACCTGGTACAACTGAAACCTGAACACACACAGTAGGGACATGAGGCCAGCACCTGGTACAACTGAAACCTGAACACACACAGTAGGGACATGAAGCAGCACCTGGTACAACTGAAACCTGAACACACACAGTGGGGACATGAGGCCAGCACCTGGTACAACTCAAACCTGAACACACACAGTGGGGACATGAGGCCAGCACCTGGTACAACTGAAACCTGAACACACACAGTGGGGACATGAGGCCAGCACCTGGTACAACTCAAACCTGAACACACACAGTAGGGACATGAAGCAGCACCTGGTACAACTCAAACCTGAACACACACAGTGGGGACATGAGGCCAGCACCTGGTACAACTGAAACCTGAACACACACAGTGGGGACATGAGGCCAGCACCTGGTACAACTCAAACCTGAACACACACAGTAGGGACATGAAGCAGCACCTGGTACAACTCAAACCTGAACACACACAGTGGGGACATGAGGCCAGCACCTGGTACAACTCAAACCTGAACACACACAGTAGGGACATGAGGCCAGCACCTGGTACAACTCAAACCTGAACACACACAGTGGGGACATGAAGCAGCACCTGGTACAACTCAAACCTGAACACACACAGTGGGGACATGAGGCCTGCACCTGGTACAACTCAAACCTGAACACACACAGTGGGGACATGAGGCCTGCACCTGGTACAACTCAAACCTGAACACACACAGTGGGGACATGAGGCCAGCACCTGGTACAACTCAAACCTGAACACACACAGTAGGGACATGAAGCCAGCACCTGGTACAACTCAAACCTGAACACACACAGTGGGGTGGGGACATGAAGCCAGGGTCAGGAACTCTGACATCACACAGACTCCCCAGATTCCACCACTGACCAGTCATGTGACAGTGGGCAAATCACCTCTCCTCTTTAAACCACCGTGTCCTTACCTCCCAGGGCTGCCATGAGAATTAAAGGGGACAGCAAAAGACAAATGTTGAACACAGAGCCCAGTTCCTGTTACGCACCCAGCAAGCACTAGCTGATTTTACTGACATAAATGCAGTGCACTCAGACACACGAACGTGTTAGGAGGCCTGGGGGCTCCTCTCCGAGGTCTGAGGGAACTGATCGCAGAGAAGGCGCTAATGAAAGGGGTATTCTTTCCACAATTCTTCTCTTAGTTCTTCTTTTCCTCTGCCCCTCCATGTGCTTACCCAGAGCCCACCACGGGCACAGCACGTGAGAGAATGATTCTCAGCAGGGCTCCCTTGAATAAAACGGTTTCCAGAAGCACTTAAAATGTAAGCTTTTGGGGGGAGGGGGGAAGTTAGGCACACACAACTTCTCAGAGTTACACAGACCTGCTAGTTCACTCTGATCCTCCCTGGAGGGAACAGCTTCAGAGACAACATCTAGAAAAACCACCTGGGGGCCGGCATTGTAGCATAGTGTGTTAAGCTGCGGCCTGTAGTGCCGGCATCCCATATGGGCACTAGTTCGCGTTTCAGCTGCTCCACTTTTGATCCAGCTCTCTACTATGGCCCGGGAAAGCAGTGGAGGATGGCCCAGGTCCTTGGGCCCCTCCACCGGGGTGGGGAGACCCAGAGGACACTCCTGGCTCCTGGCTTCAGATCGGCCCAGCTCTGGCTGTTGCAGCCATTTGGAGAGTGAACCAACAGATGGAACACACTCTCTCTCTCTTTCTGCCTCTAACTCTGTCTTTCAAATAAGCAAACTTTAAAAAAAGAAAAAAAGAAAAAGAAAAAGAAAAAGAACAAGAACCTCAGCACAGGACCGCTCCTAAGAAAACAAAAGGTCTTCCCCAGAGGCTCCGGGCCTGGCTGCTGACTGAGGCTCTGCCCTCAACAGCAGGGGCCTGAGGCGCCACGGGTTTCAGTGACGTCTGACTTCACCTTTCACCTGAAGGAGAGAATCTCCCTGGCTAAATGTGCACTCATAGGCGATATGAGCTTGTCAAGGTAGCACAGCTACTAATCCCAAACTTCCCACTGTGCGAGGAGTTCAGCCTCCTCCGCTCCATGCATACTCTCCACTGATCTGTTCCTAGCAGCCACATGAAGCAGGCTGTGAGCAATCTTTTCAAAACAGAAAAGAAAAACATGCGCTGCTAAAGACCGGAGTCTTTAATACGTTTCCCAGTGATGTGTCAGTCACCAGACAGGGCAAGCTGTACGCTGGGCAATTCTTTCATCTGGAGCCTCTGCACGGAAAACTCGGTGAGAAGGAGACTTGCCGTCTGTCTGCCCATTCCCTGGATGAACCAGGCTGACCCTTTCCCACAGAGCTCCTTAATCTCACTCGGAAGGAAAGCTGCTCCCCTCCGGGACACACAGCGGCTGCTGCTCTTCGTTCCTTGCTCTGTCTGTTGCCCTGGGGAAAGATGCAGGGCTGAATCCTGGGTGACCACGATCGACTAGATGGGAGAAGGCTTCCAATCTCCTCTGGAACGTGAGGCAAAGATAACGAAAAAAGCAAGCCTTTCACCATGGGGACAGTGCAAACATCCTTTCTTTAAAAAGTAAGAGGCTGGCCGGCGCCGCGGCTCACTAGGCTAATCCTCCGCCTGCGGCGCCGGCACACTGGGTTCTAGTCCCGGTCGGGACACCAGATTCTGTCCTGGTTGCCCCTCTTCCAGGCCAGCTCTCTGCTGTGGCCAGGGAGGGCAGTGGAGGATGGCCCAAGTGCTTGGGCCCTGCACCCCATGGGAGACCAGGAGAGGCACCTGGCTCCTGGCTTCGGATCAGTGCGGTGCGCCGGCCGCAGCAGCCATTGGAGGGTGAACCAATGGCAAAAGGAAGACCTTTCTCTCTGTCTCTCTCTCTCACTGTCCACTCTGCCTGTCAAAAAAAAGACTAAAAAAAAAAAAAAAAAGAGAGAGAGAGAGAGAGATTTACTTTATTTGTTTGAAAGGCAGAATTAGGGGAAGGCATATACAGAAAGGTCTCCTACCTGCTGGTTTGCTCCACCGATGGCAATAACGGCAGGGCCCAGGCCAGGTCAAAGCCACGAGCCAGGACATTTTTCCAGGTCTCTCACGTGGGCGCAGGGCCCAAGGGTTTGGGCCATCTTCTGCTGCTTTCCCAGGTGCACTAGCAGGGACCTGGATCTCAAGTGGAGCAGCCAAGACCCAAACTCCAGCCCGTATGGGATGCCGGCGTTGCAGGCAGTGGCTTTACCCGTCGCACCAGCCTTGATGCCTGGATCTTGACCTAAGAACCCAACACTAAGTTTCCAAATATGCTAAGCAAAGAGAATGCAGCTACCAAAGGTATCAAAGATAACAGACACCTCTGCCTCTCCTAAGATTCAGGTCCTTAAGGAGACAGTTCTTAGCTGAGGAGTAACACAAGTCCCCACTGTGTTACCCAAAGGAAACGTCCGAATGGCAGGGCCACAAAAATGCAGATGTGGGTTTCTGAGTGCTCCTCTCTATATCACAACTCCCTGTAAGATTCAGAGGCTTCACACTACCACTCGGTGAGGGGTTAGCGGATACGGCATTCGCTGACACGCAGTGGTCTAACTTCGTCCAAGGACTGACCCTAAAACACGTCAAGAAGTAAATCAGGAGAGATGGCCTCTCCAAGTGCCTTCCTGTCCACCAGCTCTCCTGCTGGGTTTCTGCAGACGGCCTCTGTCCCGCAGGGCAGGGCTGCGTCTGCATACTACAGCAGGGCTCTGGGTTCTCCTGCCAGGCTCCTACATTCAAGACCGACACTTGAGATGATTCAATAATGCACGGTTCCAGAACTCATTCTGGTTTTAGGGAATACTTGACACGTTTACCTACAGACTTATTAAAATGTGTTGGAAGTATAGGAAGGCAATTTTCAACCATTTTCATTCCCAAAATATTAGTGGTCCCAACTGTCATTATCAGTTGCTCCCCCGTCATGCTCTGCCTAAGCAACACAACAAAGCAGACTGCTGGCGGCAATCCCACGGGGTCGCTCCAAACTCAGGCACAGGGCCTACAAAGGACAGAGAAGCATGACAGAATACATGGCCTTCATTTGAAACCTATCCTGGCTATCTTGATGGCTGATCATGTTGTTATAAATACCCAATACAGAGATTTCTTCTGCAAAAGTACTTTGAGTTCTCAAACAAAAAGCAAGGTATGCTTTCTCCTCGTTCAAGTTCAACACTGGAAGGCACCACAGAAAGCAGCTGTCTTCAAGCATTAGACTGCGGCTTCTGGTGTCCCTGGACCTGCTGACACTCCTCCCACAGCCACTCCCGTGGCATCATCTACTATGTGGCAGATCACGTTGTGGTAAGGCTCCCAACACTGACTCTTCAAAACCAGGAATGCTATGTCTGGCAAGAAGAGGGGAAAAGCGTGTGTGATGGGGGTGCAGGTAACTGGTTACATTTATATGCGGATGTGTCTGGGGTGCCATTCCACTTTGGTTCACTGAAACAGCGCCTGCCCTTACAGCCACCTGCGTTTGTAAGACACAGCCTGCGACCGACTTAAAGGATGTGGGCTGAGTGCTTTTTCTCCTTTTACTGTAGCCATCACCATTACATTCAGTAGGCTCTTGCAGTACATAGTTTGGCATTAACAGAAGGATAAATTAGGGCAGAGAATGTGGTGACAAAGCAGTGGCTGGAAGGAGCGAACCTTTAAGTTCACCACAGCATGGTAGACATTTCTCTTCCAGACAAATGACTGAGCAGGAATGAGACGTCATCTAAATAAACCTTCTCCAGTTTTCCCTCTGGCATTTATTCAGTGTTTAACCTGAGTTTGGTGCTGCGCTACACTGGAGAGCAGGTAGGAAAACGCACATGAGGCTCCTACCTTAAATCTTGTATTTTAGTATGAAATACAAGGAAGATTAAGGTAAACACAAGGAATACAACCCCTTCCCGCAATGCAGACACAAAACCAACATGCAGTACGAGTTAGCCAGTGTGCCTGATAAATGCATATCCTCACACCCCACGCAGCTGGGATCAGAAAGGCGCTGGGAACGATCATGACCAAGTGTGGGGAGGAATCGGAAGGCACAGTTTGAGGCGCGAGGAGAGAGGATGTCTGGGGAAACTGTGAACCCAGGCACGTAGGCAAACGGAAGCACTCCGACAAGAATGACTGTAGGAAGGAGGAGAAACTCTGGTTGACAGGACCAGGGAAGCTCCCTAAAGGAAGGAGTGGACAGCCCATACAGGACGAGTTCTGCACAGGAGTGTAGAGGCTGTCAGTTTTAAGCTCTCCTAGGAACCAAGGCCTGCCCCAGCCAGGCACCCTGCTGACAGCATGGGTGTGTTCCCCTACGGCGGAAAAGATGTGTTCCAATGTCGCACTTCAGAGGCAGCGACCTCAAACCCTTCTCTCTCGATACAGAACACTTCATAAATGAGCTCAGTGGAGGTTAGAAAAGATTTCTCGTTGGTAAAAATTAGTGGTATTTGGATATATGGCTTAGCTAGAAATATGGGGTTAGGGGCCGGCGCCGCGGCTCAGTAGGCTAATCCTCCGCCTAGCGGCGCCGGCACACCGGGTTCTAGTCCCGGTCGGGGCGCCGGATTCTGTCCCGGTTGCCCCTCTTCCAGGCCAGCCCTCTGCTGTGGCCAGGGAGTGCAGTGGAGGATGGCCCAGGTGCTTGGGCCCTGCACCCCATGGGAGACCAGGAAAAAGCA